TTAACTTAATCGTTACTTTTAACGAATGCTGAACCTTGCGGGCAACACAACAAACGACGGCGATGAGCTTCGGCCGGGAGCTTGCCCGCAAGCGCGATGTATACTTACCCGTACACGTCGTAGAACTGGCCGAACTGCCTGGTACGGGTGTGGGTGGCGTACAGCACCATGCTGGAGACGTGCCTCTGCATGAAGAAGTACAGCGTGTCCGAGGCCGCCGTCACGCAGGCGTACATGAAGACGATCCACAGCACCCAGAGCAGCGTGTCGATGGCGCGCTTCTGGAGCTGCTGCCGGTGGCGGCGCAGCACCAGGAGCACCTCCGCCTCGGTGCGGGTCAGCTTGCGGTACATCTTGGCGTTGGTGCCGGGCGAGCGGTACCTGGGCGGCACGAGTGGCGGCAGCGTCACCGGCCGGGAGAAGGGCGCCGACTTCTGCTCCAGGGGCGTGTCTTTCTGTGGCGCGTAGAGATAGGAGCGTGTAAGGGGCGGCGGTGGCCCAGCTCGCGCGGCCCGCAGCAGCCGACCGTGGCACGGGCAGACTGGCACCCCTGCGGTCGGCCGTAGCGCCTGCAGACGGGCGGGTGGGCCAGCCCGCTGAGCAGGGGTGTCGTGCGGGCTGGCCTACCCCACCCCTGCGGTCGGCCGTACAGCGCCTGCAGACGGGCGGGTGGGCCGGCCCGTTGCTCAGTGCTGTCGGGCGGGTGGCCTACCTACATAGCCTCGAGCTCACCTGGAGGTAGCGGGCGAAGATGTAGGCTACCAGGATCATCTTAATGGGCTGAATGATGAAGATGCCGAGAATAAGGGAGGACATGGACGCCATGAACCACTGCCAGCTTTGCTGCCAGCCGTATTTGAGGCCGTACAGGATGGTAAAGTATCCACTCGTGACAATCGTCACAGAGCAGAGCACCCTGGAGATGCAGAAAGATTGGTCAAAATAACGTGACTATGGTGGGAAAGTAACAACTGCCGTAGAGACTGCGTTATTACCAGCCAGTCGCAATCCTCCACGTTCGCCTTTGACGAAAATCCCATTCTGTCTTCTCCTTGGTAGTTTTCTTGTCTTTCTCTCCGTCATCTGGTTTCTTTCGCCTCGAGGTTCTGATTATTTGCATTTCTTTCTTTTTCTTCTGCTCCTTTTCGTCCCGTTTCTTCTCTGGCTTTTTGTCTCCGAGCCGTAATTCAGAGACGACGCTGACGGCACCCCCCACCGCTTTCTCCCGCTGTTCACCGGTAGTCGAAGCCTCGACCGTTTGCACCTCCAAGACAGCGAGGGGTCGTGGCACCTCCGCGGTCCCGGTGGCGGCCCTGGCGGCGGCCTCGCTGGCGCCCCGCAGTGGCGGTTCCATGGGTAAAGTGAGAGTGCTGGCGTCGGCGCCGACCTCGGCCGGTGCCGATGAAGTCGAGGGATCTGCACGCACCGACACAGACACCGACGGGGTCGCCGCCTCCATGACAGCGGACCTATTGGCTGGAGGTCTGCAGGAATGGCGGAGTAGTTGTAAGTACCAAAGGGACAGCGACATTTCCAGCGGAGCGAGCGATCTTATGGAAGAGCCGGCGGGTGGTGCACCTCAGTTTTGCCTGGTTCTCATCCTGCTCCTCGCTCTCGTTCGGGTCGACCCAGCCGCCCAGGTACACGACGACGGTGGGCATCCCGGAAGATCGGGGCACCGTCCGGATGCGCAGCTTCCGGTAGCCTGTGGGGAAGAAATCCGATGCGGAAGTGGAGGCGTCAGTCGTTGAGGAGGGCGGGGCCACCAAAGTCGGAACCGCACCAGAACATCGCTCGGTCGTCATCCTGATGCTCGACTCCAACGGTATCCTGGAGACGGGTAGGCCCCCCTCCGTCGTCTCTCCCAACGCAATGGGGGTGATTAGGGTCGGCTGCGATGGTCCTTGCATGTTGCTTCGCCCCAGCCCCGGGCGCACCGCCCGTGGCCTCGGCCGCGCGCCGACCTCGCCGGCTGCTGGGCCCAGAGCCGGAGCCCCCGGCTGCGCGAGGACGTACTCGTACTGCGCCGGGCCGGGCTGGAGCCACTCCCCGACCGCCTGGAGCAGGGATGCGGCGGCGGCGGGCGACGCCGTCGCGGACGCCACGGCCAGGGCGCCCGCAGACACCGCTCCCGCCACGCCCGCCTCGGCCGCCCTGGCGCTCGCCATCGACGCCACGGCGTAGGGCGCGATAGACGCCCGGCCCGACGACGGCCAGTGGTCGAGCGGGGCCGAACTCTTCTGTTCGCCCGCGGGGGGAGTCGCCTCCACCTCCTCGACCCTTCGCACGGGCAGAAGTGGTTGTCAGAAACACACTGGCGTCTATGGAAGGAATCCAGTCCAGAGACTTACTGGAAGATCCAGTTGATGAGGAGCGCCACCGGCATGGTGATCAGGCTGCTCTCCAGGCCGATCATAAAGCCGTGCCACAGCATCTCGGGGACGGTCGTGAGATTCGACTCTGCCACGGACGCACATGTCAGCAGTAAAGCAACATGTCACCCGCAGAAGGTCGCGAGCCCTGCAGCCGTTTTTTCCAGGCATAGCCTACCCACTTCCTCTGCCACATTGAAGAACATGATGCTGACCACCATGTCGAGGAAGTGCTCCGAGAAGGCGACGCTGAGGCGCTGGGCGCGGCTGAACGTCATGCGGGGGTGCCTGGCGAAGGGAGAAGTGACTGTCAAAAGTATGTCAAGAATGAGAATCCATGCCGTTTCGTACGTTCCATTTCGCATTAGAGTAAAGTTCATTCCGATCAGTTTCGGTTGCTAAGAATCCCTCTCCGAGGTTCGCGCTTTGATCCGATGAAGCATTCCGGTAAAGCTGAGATGCAGAAAAATGCAGGGAACAATAAAACGGAAGTCGCCATGCTAAAGCATAGCGATGTCTGTTTTCTTCTTCCCCGCATTCTTCTGCATTTCAGCTTTACCGGAATGCTTTATTGGACGCCTGCCTCACCTGAACAGCACGCTGAGCCAGGTGTGGTCGCCGCGCGCCGTCGCCTTGATGAGCGAGTTGAAGCGGTGCTTCCAGAGCAGCGGCGCGGGTGGCAGCGTGACGCACGCCCGCCGCGTGCCGTGCTCGAGCGACAGCCAGCAGTAGGCGGGGAAGGTCCACACGCGGCCCGTGCGCAGCTCCTCCACCAGCACCTTCTCGCAGTACCAGTACGGCCGCATGCCGGCGCAGTCCGTCCACAGCTCGAGGGACAGCAGCTCGCCCAGCGGGCCCGACGTGTACAGCAGGAACCAGTCGTCGTAGGTGCGGCTGAGCGCGCGCCGCTCGTGCGACAGCATGTGCGGCTGCCCGGGCACAGTATAGTCACACTTCAGGAACTTTGGTAGACGTTCATCACTCAAGTTCGTGAGCAGCAGTCTAAGTTCTTCCAGGTTCAAAAGTAACTGCACTGAAGTTTTAGCGTCCAACCCAGTTCCGCTCCGCAAGTAACAAACCCCGCTGTCCTGCTTGTCGCCGCAGATTCGGATGCCGACGTAGGCCGTGGTCTGCCCCTGAGCCAGGTTGCCCGAGAAGACCGACACCAGGTAGGGGTACTGCGCCTCCGGGGAGATGTCGTCCAGCACCACCACCCTCCACTGCGCCGAGAGTGAATGTGAGCCGACAGAGGGACCAGCCTCTACACTCCTCTCTCTCGCGGGAGACGCTCGCTCTTTAGCACTCCTCTCGTACGAGACCCCCACCTCCTCTCTGTCGACGCGGTCCTGGCGGATGGCGAACGGCAGCCACACGAGCCAGATGAAGAGGGTTACCATCACGTACACGAACACGAGCCAGTTGCGGTACAGCGTGGCGAAGAGCGCGGCGTCGCGCATCGGGTGCACAAAGTGCGGCGGCAGCAGCACCAGCCCCGAGAACAGCGACAGGTGGTGCAGGGCGCAGGTGAGCGCGCGCGGCCCGCTCAGCTGCCACAGCTGGAGGTGGGGCGGTGAAACGAATAAGAAGAAAGAAACAGGTGAGCGTACTTTGCAAAAAGGGTACATTGTGGGCGTAAAGCTTGTCTGCTGGCCAAGGTCAGGCCACCCCCTTCCCGTACCTCCCTATGCTCGCCCGTGACCCACCGGTAGCGCGAGTCGCTCCAGCTCTTGCAGGCCAGATTGAGCGGGGTGAAGCTGAAGTCGTAGGTGATCTCTGTCTGACCTCTCGCCGCCGCCTTCTGCAAACGTGATGTTGATGAGTAGATTGGGGCGCTAACGCTGCGATTCCGTTCAGCCCCCGCCACTCCGCCAGCCAGGGCCGCGTTCCCACCACTCTGCCCCGATTGCAGTTCATTTATCTGCCTCTATTCCTCTCTCCGCACCTCCAACGTGGCGTTGGCGAACGCCAATCCCAGGTGCACGAACGAGTTGAGCCTGTTCCGAACGGCGACGCCGATGACGACGTCCTGGGTCTGACTGACGACCACGGCCCGGGAGGAGTAGAAGTCCTTGCTCTTGGGCCACTTCTCCTGCAGCACGACCACCATTTCCAGCTACAAGTGGGAGCAGAGAGGCACCAGTGACTAAACTGTCTTGATCCCGTCCACCTGCTTCAACTACAGATCGAGCAAGCTAACACTCACGCCGGCCGCCCTCTCGCTTCCACCGCGCCCCTGCCCCCCCGCGCGAGCCGGGAAGGTCACCTGCACCGCACCCGTGCCGTCGTAGGCGTGCAGGTGGTACACGAGCACGTGGTCCGTCCACTCGGCGTCCCTCGTCAGAGCCCGCAGTTGCCCCTGGACGCGGGCCTCGTCCGCCGCGACGGCGCTCGGGGCCGGCAGGGTGACGCCGATGACCTCGGCCACGGGGGGTGCCGGCCCGACCGGGCCGTCGTCGAACACCTGCAAGTCCACCAGCGCCGAGGTCGGGGTGTTCGAGTAGATGTCGGTCGGCACCGGCTCAAACCAGGTCAGGCTGCCCCTGATGAACGCCACCTGCAGAGAGCAGATCGTCGTAGGAGGGATCCCTCAAGATTGCTCGAGGGCATAGATAGAGCGCACCAGCGAACCACACCGTCAGGGCGAACGCGTCCGCGCGCAGGTCCAGCTCGCGGCCCCTCTCCGCATCCACGTGGAAGTCGCAGTTCTCCGGCAGCGTCGCGTTTGGGCGCTCAGCCAGGCCGGCCATCGTCTCCACCTGGCTCCACACGGTTATCCTGCCGAGGCCCGCGGCGGTGCCGCTGGAGTCAACGTCAATCTGGACGGGCGGCAGCCCCGGCAGCAGCCTCCACTGCTCGGCGCGGATGATGTTGTAGAGGGTCTTGATGGCGGCGCGGGCGCCAGCTCGAAACTGGCGTCAAGGAAGACCAAATAGAGATATGTTGCAAATAAAATTTAACTGTGAAATATTTCATTGTAAAAAGTACTTCACCATCATGTTTTCACAAAATTTTGAAAATGAATAAGACTATTCTGACTTTTACCCGGACTGTTTTGTGTTGAGAGTTCGGAGAATCTATATAATATTGCTCGAGAAAGCATCGATGCTCGACGGACCTTGCGCTCCCGCTCCATGTGGCCGGGCATCAAATCGGTGTACAGCAGGTAGTCCGGCTCCAGTTCGTCTTCGCTCACGCTCAGATTGCGAATCTGTTTGGCCATGTCGCTGTCCGCATCCACCGTCATGTACGTCACAACGAGGGTTATCTTCCTGAGAAAGTGAAATAAAATGGGGTACTCGAGATACCATAGGAGTAGGAAGGCGTTCAACAGAGTCTGCTGCTCGACGTCGACCTCACCGGAAGCGGTCCTCCACGTCCTCTGAGCTGATGGCGGGCGGCTCCCGGTTCTTGGCCAGCTGCACGAGCTGGTCCGAGACGGCGACCAACATCGCGCCCAAGTGCTCCGAGAGGTCGTCCATGAACGTGCCCGCGCCGCGTATGCCCAGCTCGCCCAGGATCAGGGTCAGCTCGGCGTACTGCCACCAGAGGGCCGCGTGCGGGGTGCTGCCCATGTACTGCGGACGGAGGTCGACGATCACAGAGAGTGACCAAACAACCAACAACGGACTCGACGTGAATTTGGATGCGATCTGATCAGGCATTTGGAGTCCAACCTGATTACAGAGAGCCGCCGCGGCGGACAAGTCCTTCTGATCCGGAGTCTCTCCCCGCTCCAGGATCACGGTGAGGGCGGAGGCGACCATCACGGTGGCCACTGGCGTTGGAGAGGGATAGTTTCGTCAGCAACCTCTGAGATCGCGTCACACAACCCGGTGGGTGGCGCTACTCACCCATTTCGTTCCCCATGTGGTACCGCGCCTCCGCCTTGGAGAGTGTCGTCGACAGATTGAGGCTGGAGGGCCGGCCCTGTCGGGGACGGGGACTAACTGCATGACGGAAGTCGACTCCACACGCAAGCCATGCACTTCGCATGCACGACTCCTACTCTATCCTCGTGTGTACTTTGTAGTACTACCTACCCCAGCCACGGTCAGGTTCGTGGACCACTCGGCGCCCCACGGCATGGTGGCCACCACCTCGACGGGGGCGTTGAGGAAAACGAGGGCCACCCCGATCCCCGTGAACGTGTAGCCGACCAAGACCCGCCCTGGAGTCAGACGTGCCTCGTTTGTTTTCCCTTATTGCAGTACGAGGTGGCTGAGGCTGACAGACCCCGTCACGGATACCGCACCGCATGCGCGCGTGTGGACAGGTTGCCTACTCTCTCGGGCCACGCGGTGAGAGCATGCAAACCCGCCCACACGCCCGAGAGCGTCACGACGGTCACCACTATAGGCACAAAATCCAACTGGCATATGTTTCGGCACTGGCAATTGCATGGTTTTCGCACCGCCCTTGGGCGAACGCTGGAAGAACTTGTAGAGTGTGTAGGTGGTCCATCGGGAGGAAGGGTCCGAGACGTCGTGGCACTTGATGGTGGTCCGCACCCCGTATCCACGCGAGCTGCACGAGTGGTCCGGCTTGGGCGTCATGGACAGGCTCAGGGACGACACCTCGACCCACGCGTCACCCACGGGCACTGCACGGCAGCGTCAAGGACAGTTTCAATAAGTCGTGAAGGTTTGCCAAACAGTGCGGCCGAGCAAGAACAGGTCCCCCACCACTCAGGTTGACGTAGTACTTGGAGTGCTCAACGAGGCTGGGCGGTGCGATGACGAATCGTCGCCCCTGTGATCCGAGGGGCAGGTTCGCCTCTCTGCTCCCTTGAGTTTCCCCGGAGCCCAGGGCTGGGCTGAGCGACCAGGAGAGCTTCGGGCAAGACGGCGAGCAGCGGGCCCTCAGTGAGACGCGCTCCGTAGACAGCACACCGAGGCCGGATCCACAATTCCTCTCGCATCTGTTCGCCGAGGAGCAATCAGATCGAACGGCTATTTTCAATCTTGGAAGAGGTGCTGGGGGGGGGGGGGGCAATATTACATGATGTCAACGTTGAACGCTAGATCGGCGTCCACCGTCACGGCCTGTCGGACCACGAGTGTCTCCAGGAACTCCCGGGCCGCCTCCAGCACCACGGTGAACCGCTGGCCGTCGCTGAGCGTGTGGGACATGACGATCCACCGCGGGCCCGTCGCCCTCCGGAAGGGGCAGCCACCGCCGTCGCCGTCCTCGTCGTCCTCGGGCACGCACGTCCACGTGAAGGACACGCGGCGGAGGTCCTTCTCGTTGAGGTCGATGGAGGCGCTCGCGTCCAGCACGAGCGCCTGGCGGGGCGAGACGGTGCGCGCCGAGCCGCCCAGCATCACCAACTGCAGCGGGGACGGCACGACCAGGAAGTAGCCCTGCGCGAGCGGGACGAACGCGTTACACACGGTAAGGCGCCCCCGCCCCGCCCTCTGCCAGCTCCAAGTCAGCCTCACCATGATGAAGTCCACGAGCCTGGTGCCGTTCCAAGCGCAGTACTTGAGGCCGTGCTTGCCGATGGGCACGGAGAACGGCGCGGCGTGGAAGCGTTTGTCCGGCGAGACGACGTGCGGTCTGTTTACCTGCTCTGGGATGTGGACGTCGATGAGGTTCGGCACAGCGAGCTGCAGCGGGTAGAGCCTCGCTGAGTTCAGCGGCAGCCCACTCACCCGCGGTCCCAATCCTGACAATCAGACTGTAGGTGAAGATGTACTGATCCGCGCTGCCCATGGTCACCGAGTCCTCCGCCTCGCCGAGCACCAGGATCGAGTCGCGCCGACTCCAGTGCGGCATCATGTGGTTCGAGGCGAAGATCCCCCCGCTGCAAGGAGACCGTATAGCGTGAGTCCGGGGTGTCGAGGCGGGGCGTGGCGGGCCGGGGCGGGATACGCACACCTCGGGCATGCTGAGCTTGACGCTGTGGTCCTGGCCGTGGAGCGTCCCGGCCTCGGGGAAGACGACCTTGAGCGCAAACTGGTGCTGCATCTCCTTGCCGATCGAGTTGGGCGGCTGGTTTTCCAGGATGAACCAGTTCTTGACGGGGCCCTTCGCCGACAGCCACCGGTTGAACGAGTGCGAGAAGCGCACGATGTACCGGCGCTCTGGGGGTCATGGGGGCGGGGGCGGAGTGCCATTGGTGGTGCGCAACAACAGTTGTACCCAGTTAAGAGAGCCGAGTCGCGGCGTCAGGCGCGCCTTGCGCCCGTGGTTCCCTGTACCAATAGCTGGGCGCCGGCATGAGAGAAGGGCGCCCTTCTCTCGTGGCGCCGGGCGATCGGGACCGAAGCGCGCCTTTATCTTAACTGGATACAACAAACGTGTGCCGGTACCTTGGTCGTGCGTCGCTACGTACCCGGGGGCAAGGCCTTGAAGGCTGGCGTCCCCGGGGCGAGGGCGTCCAGACCGATGGAGGGCACCTCGTCGCGGAGGAAGCCTCTGTGGAAGTCCTTCCCTTGCCTGATGTCCTCCACGCCGTCCCCCCACAATACCTGTTTGGGGATTCCAGTGAGGGTGAAGGGTGCGGGGCTCAAAGCGAGGACGTTGCCCTTACCTTGAGAGTGAGGTCGTCGCCGAGCTCCCTAAGGCTGAACAGCACCGGCAGCTCCTCGAACAGGCCGACTTTCGGCAGGAACACAAAGTACGGCGCTTCGGCAGTCGCCGTTGAGTCATTTGCGTCTGTAGCACACCAAGCAGAGAACCTTAGGTGGTGTTCAGTCGTAGCGCACGAAATTCGTGAGCCCCCCCCCCCCCCAACCGAGCAGGGCGGTCGCGCGGCAGACCACGCGCCGCGCAGTAGCTTTCGCTTGTATCGGACGGCGCGCTTCATTCAGCATCCGGGGATGTAACTCAGTGGTAGAGTGTCTGCTTCGCATGCTGAAAGTCCTGGGTTCAAATCCCAGCATCTCCAAATCATCATTTTAAAATTAGCTTACTTGCCTCGCACACAATGAATCCCCGTTTTGCCACTGTCTTTGCAACTTGTACAATAAAACGCATTGTTTGTAGGGACGCAGGCATTCGTGGCACATTTTTCGTTGTACGTGTCTTCATTCTTGCAAAAGTCGACCAGCTCGTTGCAGTCTGAACCCGTAAAACCTGTTGACATTTAAAAAAAAATTATAGTCAGTATTTGTGAGTTGCGTCGAAGTTTCAATGAGTAATGGTTTTTATTCTCGTACCGTCAAAGCACAGGCACGTTTGACCATCGTTGCTTAATTCGCCACCATTTTTACACGGGACTAAGGCAGATGTCCAGATAAACAAACTGAGAAGGAAAGCAAGTTGCCATAACCTGGCGGTATTTCGATATGAAAAAGTGGGGATGCTACGTCGTTTTGCCATAATTTTGTGATTGTTCTTGCTCCTTCGAATTCAGCTTAAATTACTCACATTACTTTGACACAGATTCAGAAGCCAGTAGATCAATAAATAAACTGGAATTAATTAGGAGCACTCCCCCGTCTCCCTTCTCTTGGCTCCCGCCGAAACAATTGCCACCAGCTGGTTCATTTTCGCCAACTGCTCGTACGCAGCTCGGACTTTGATTACATGCAAGAGTGCTAATAGTTATTTGATACAAATTTTTTTTTAGTCAGAATTGTATATTAATTTCCACAAATTATTTTATTGGAACGGTTATTAGTGCTTGTGATTTTTTTAAAGTGAAGTATTTGTATCCAAGACTGTGGCGACCATGCCAGATATTCGCAGATCGTGCTGAAGCTTCTGCTGTTCTTTGTCTTATGGATTTGTTGTTGTCAAACGTTGTCAGTCGTGTTTAGGCGTTGCTGACGAACAATCAGCTGTGTTTTACGTTAACGTCAATGAATAAACCTCATCAGAAATGAAGTCAACTGTGGTCGACCCCTGGAAGACAGACTCCGAGGAATCAACGATTCATGTCGCAGATGAAGTCGAAGACAAATCCTTGGGATTTGAGGACAGCTTTGTTGCTGGCTCAACTGACAGTTCTGCAGGCACAAATAACCGTCTACCAGATTCAGCAGAGTATTTAGCTTCCTTAGGTAACTAGTTTTTATGTTTGGTTTGCCCGGTTTGCCTCATTGTGTGAAAATCATGTGGTGTAACCTACCCCAGGCCTACACTGCTTTGTCTCATTTTACCAAGCCTCTTTCTATTATCCACCTGTTTATTTGTTTGTTTTGTAGAAAACAAGTTGGCAAAGCTGAAGTCCAAGAGAAAAGGGAAAGATATCATAAAATCCCTTGAAGAAAAAAATAAGTCATCCATGATGAACTTCCTCTCAAATGATAACCAAGTTGTCCTTGATGATGATGATTTTATACTGGATACGCCTGTCAATAACAACCATCCTATACTACGGTATGTTGCGCCTGACAAACAGGCTCTGACAGTGGGTGAGTTGGTTGAACTCCTCAAAGCAGATCACCTGTCTCAAGTGCTGGAGCAGCATGATTCAGATGAAGAAAAACAGTCATAAGTTTATATAGACCCGCTACTTTAATAATTGCTGGTTACTTTATGTTAATTGATACCAGTTTCAATTTTATATTTTCTCTTTGTTCATGTATTACTATAATCAGTCTATTGATAATGTGCGTAAGAGCACGCTGCATCTAAAATTATTAATAAAAGTACCTGACATTGCTATGTTAAGAAAGTGAGTGATTGTTTTTCCAATGAATCAATTTTTTTTTAATACAAAAGCCCATTTATTATGTACACATACAACAATAACATGTACATATTGTAACAAACATTTGTAGAATCACAGACAAAGACCGCTCTTTGAAGCACGAAAACTTCACATGAAAAGAATTGATAGGTCACAAAAATAGAAAGAGCTAGATAAATATAAATGTAACAGTCAATGAATATCTTACATAAAAAAAACTCCAGACGAATTGGTTTCAATTCAACAATACATAGAGAGTACGGATATAAGTTTTATGAAATCCAAGATACAGTTGTTTGAAAAGGGGCAAAACTTGCCTGAAGAAATAAAATGTAGGCCCATTCAGTTGCAAAGTACGTTTTCTCTCTCTTTAAATAGCTGAAATTTCCTTCAACTTTGCCCAATTAGTAGGTAACTGAAAATTGTAACTACATACAAGGACCAAAGAGTGAAGAGCATAATCTGCGTACGAACAATCAAGACCATAAAAATGGACAGAGGTGAAAATGTGTCTTCACAATTAAAATTTAAACTGACTTACACTAAATTAACGACACTAATAATCCAGAGACTCCAATATCACAATTAAACATACAAAGTCTAAACCTACTTGAGTATAAGATAACATTAGTGTGATAACTATGAAGGAACTAACAGAGTAGATATGAAATGTAATGGCAAATGATAGGTAGTCCATGTAACCCAAACCTCATCTCTTTCAAATAAAATTAAAATAAAACTTAGTCTGGCCCACATTATACCAAAAACTGGTTAAATAACAAAAAATTAATACTAAGGCTACCCTTACTTAAAGTCCACAAAATGCATATCAATAGTCACAACCCATCAAATGACTATGTCTTTTAAAAAGAAATCAAAGATGCAAATGGCAATATTTCACATTTTAGTCCAACCACAGCTCAGCTACCTGATGAGTGTTTCACGTCCAAATAGTACATGTCCAAAATAAAAGCAAAACTTGAAAAATGTAATAATTTCATCATGATCCAAAATATTTAAGATCAAGAGCTTCAACATAATTTGACAAGTAGATCACAAAAAGAACAGCAGCACAAAAAGAACACTATGCCAACAAATTAGACTTTCCTATCGACCTCAGAATTCAAGAAGAAGTAACAACTTTGACATGGTTTCAAACCGTATTCAAGTTAGAGCTTAAAAGGAGTCGACAAGATAACTAAACATGGAGCTTAGAAAAATTAAGATAAAAATGAGGTCAAGTGTACCGCTGAACAAAAGCACAAAGCATTCTACAATTAGGCCAAATTAGTTACCCAAATATCACAACCAAAGAAGAAGCACAATAAATCAAACAGTAAAATACATCTGCTGATCTTTTGAAGCAACCAGGCAACAGAAAAATGACCTTTTATCACAACTAGATTATGCGATCAGCAACATACACAATTAATTAATCAATCATTTAAAAACATAATAAAGTAACCAAATGGCCATACTCAACTTAAGAAAAGCGAGAAAAACGTGGAAATAAAGAAATGCGGAACTGAAATTATTAAAACTTAACAAATTCAGAGTTTACAAAAGTGTACTTTTAGTACTCTACTAGACATTGATGAAAATACAATGCCAAGGAAAAATAATGAGAGAGACAAAGAATTGTAACAAGATATTAATGGTTACATCTACTTTACTCTGAGTTTTACATAACTAAGCAACTTGTCATGTAACACGTCAAATAAAGAGTAAAAAATGCCTTTACATAAGGCAAAAGAATGACCAAAGACGGTTAAAAAGTGACATGAAATTTTAAGAGAGGATAAAATGATCTATGTTTGTTAATACCAAAATGCGGAAGACGTTTTTAACACAAATACATAGTTCTATGTAAAACAACAATATTTTTTCCAAAATGAATATTTTTTACCAGGGCAATTCTGCTTTGCAGAAGATTTAGAATTTATTCTCCCCTTTCGAGCTAATGCACAGACTATAGCCTGATCAAATGCTTCTTTTAAGTCTCTTTGGGTTAAGGCTGAAGTCTCAATATACCCAGCTCCACCAGAACGACGAGCCAATTCTTTGGCTTGGTTCACTGTAACTGGTGTTTGTCCATAGCGAGCTAATTGGAGTGCAAGGCGTACGTCTCTCCTCCTATCACTTTGAGTACCCACCAAAAGGATTGCAGCATCTGGACAGTACCTTTTAATCTCTGGAATCCATTTCTCGGTTACATTTTGATATGATGTGGGGCATACAACACTAAAACATACCATGAAAACATCTGTGTCGGAGTAGCAAAGCGGGCGGATCTGGTCAAATTCATCCTGTACAGACAATTTTAATTCTTATTCACAGTTGACATTTGTAATAAAAACTAAATAAGTCATCAACATACCTGTCCCGCTGTGTCACACAGCTGAAGGCTAATTGGTTGTGCATCAACTTGGACTAAAACTGAAAAGGAAAAACAATTTTATTAATATGTTGTCTTTAAATTAAATAACCCACAAAATGTGGATGATAAAGTTTTGAAGAAAAAACAATTTTTGAAAAATGGCTAGTTAGTACTGCAGAACAGGTGTCAGGGTCAGATTTTGACAACACACAAACAAGGAGGGTTAGGTTTGTTCTATAATATAAATTCCGTGACAATCCTTTTGACTGTAAAAGTAATTCTAAAGAACACAAATAGGTTGTTTAAACTGTTTACGAAATGGAAGCATTAAATTTGGAATGCAGTACACCAAATATTCATATAGGGCCCAACAAAGGAAATTAATTCTGATATTACAAGCTCCTGTTCAGTGACCTTGCCAGCTACCTGGAGCTTCAGCACCTGCTTAAAACAAAGCCTGTCCTCCAGAAAATTTGGATAGGATTTTAATAAACAAAAATGTGTTAAGAGTATTACCATTGTAATTGTCGTAGGCAGTGGGTATGTATTCGCTTGGGAAACCGTTGGTACTGTAACTAACCACCAACGAAGTTTTTCCCACGGCTCCGTCGCCCACTAAGACACATTTGATCCTTTCACTGGAGCTAGTAGTGCCCAACTCATCTGCTTTTAACAATCGTCTAGTGCAGCCCAGGGCAGAAGGAGGCATTCTTGAAACCGTCCCATGGACAAGTGTTGTGCTGCAGGTGGGTTCACTACTCCAGCTCGCCACTATTGTTACAAATCGTAACACACTGACGTCATGACATGGGTGCGAAGGGTGGGGGAAGGGAATGTGTGGAGGGGGAAGGCGAGGGAGAGGAGACGATGACCCAGTATTGAACCATGATAACATCTCAATTGTATTTGTTCTGAGGGATGAATATGCTGGGTTCTATTGGGAATATGTGGCATGAGAAGAGGGTAGAAATGGTATAAATTTTAAGATGCGTAATTTTTCTTCATTTACTTTTTATTTTAAAGTTGTTTGTTCAAACATACTTGTTTGAGCAACATTCAAACAAATTTTTAAACACCCTCCCATTGGAACTCACACACACAGTTTTCATGCACATTATTTCACAATACAAGTAAATTAACAATACATCACAGTATATATTATAACACTGAGCAAGACATGTTTCAAAATTAAACATTATAACTTCCTGTTTTCCAGTTCTGCTCCTTTAAACCCACTGGCATAATACAAGCAAAACAGAAAACAAACAACATAAAAACAGGAAACTTAAGTTTTTTAACCCAGTGCTCTATTTAAGAAACGGCAGCAGCATATGACAATCAAAGGACATAAGCAAAAGTTCTGAGAAGTGTTTTAAAATGCTGGTATAAGGTGAACTTGCTTGGATCAGTAATCTACAAGCCTGAAATTATAAGAACATACGGCATTAAACAAATGCATGGGTAGAAAGTAATAATCAACCAAATCAAAGTGACAGAAAAAACTTACTTGGGCTTGTTAGAATCACTGCGTCGATCATCATAGCTTTGTTGTTCATCTCTCCTTTGACCACTATAACGAGGTTTAGAGTAATTATCCTCGCGCCGATTCCAATCCCCTCGCCCGGCTCCTTTAAAATGAGAATCCTCTCTTCCCCGGTACCCATCATTATCATATCGTCTATTTCCAAAGTCTCTCCTGTTGTAGGAGTCAAATCGACTGGGTCCCCCTTGGTTGTCATCTCTCCTGTATGTACTCATGTCATCCCTCTTATGGTTGCTCATCTCTCTTCTATAATTTGAACTATCTCTGTGGTAGCTTTCGTCATCGCGGCGATAACTACTACTCCCATCATCTCTGAAATAGTTTTCTTCTTTCCTAAATGAATTGTTTCCATATCCACTACTACTACTCCCCTTGCTAGTTTCATCTCGCTTGAAACGGTCTTCCTTTCTTGATTCATCTCTATTCCTTTTTTCATCAAGAAAGTTACGGTTTGGTACATCCCTGAAAGCATATTCATTTGATAAAATAAGCTCAGATGGTTTTGGTGTTAACTGTATTCTAGATTTTAAGGAATTTTGATTACTAACCATTTACTATGCCTGGATTCAGTAGTTTTGTTGCGTTCAGGAGACTGAGAGCGAGAACGTCTTGAGCGCGTTGGAGAACTCTTATCACTGTTGGAGTCAGAATCATCAGAGCTCCACTGACTACGATCTTCGTCATCACTAGCACTATCACCATCCCTCATCTTGTGACGCTTCTGACGCTCTCTGATTACAGAAAAATTGTGTTCACAGTTTGTAAAATTTCATTAAAAAAAAAAAAGATTTAGAAATCTGAATACAAACCTTCTTCTCATTTTTAATGCTAATTCTCTCAATTCCTCCTTCCGATCGTTTCTTTCTTGTTCAGCTTTATCCATTCGGGCCTTTTCAGCTTTCTTGTCTGCCTTATCTAAAGTAATTTGAAGACAACTTGTAGTTAAAAGCTTCAAAGGAAAACAAAACTTTTTGGTCATGGAAATCAGCCATAAACTTACATTGCCTGTTAAGTAAGGCTTGCATTTTCTTCTTAAGCCTCTCTTGAGGAGTCATTTTTGAAGCACTTATAGTGCCTACAGAGTTTGATACCTGAAACGTAGAACAAATATGTCAGAAAAATCATCATACTCCAAAAGTTTTCACCCAAAACAAAAAGAAAGGAAACAAAACAATAATAAAATTAGCCCAGTTGCAAGTCACAACAAAACATATACTGCAACCAATTACACTAAGATGATATATGATATATGTGACAGGAAAACAAGAATTGAAGAAGGCTTTAAAAGAACACAGATTAACAGAATACATTCCACTACAATAAGAAAGCCAAAGTTCCCAAGCTGAAATAATGTAAATATTATTGACACAATTGATTTAAACTAAAAGGAGAGACATTAAGATTTTTTTCTCAAAAGGTTCTCTTGCAAAAGAAATTTCTATTTAAACACAATTATATTGAAACTTAGGACTCAATGGTATAAACCAATGGATATTGGTATAATCCAACAGTTTAGTGACTGTGAGACTGATAGGAGTTATGTCACCAGTAAAGGCATCAAGGAAAAAGTAAAATTATTAAACTGGAAATTTAAAATTAAAAATTTCACAGAAATGTTTGAAACAAAAGGACCTGGCTAAACATCACTAACAGTTATAGATATCTTAGTGGTTCTTACTGACTTTGGCTGCAGGCCGAGAATTACCAGATCCAGATCGATTACTCCTAAAAGGGAGAAATAGACAAAAATGTTATATAAAATTGAGTAGTTACATATATAGAAAATGGAGGATACAACAAATATTTCTTACTTGTTGAGGTTACTTCCCGATGAAGCTCCTACTCTTTCTGAGAGAGTAGAAGAATCCTCAGTATCTGAAGCTTCAAGATCTGATGATGAAGTATCACCCTTGCGGCGACCATAATATCTACAAGATCAATAAAGTATTAAGATAAAAATGGCAACTTTTGCAATACATAATTCTACACAATAAATAACAAAGGTTACCTTTGAACTGGTTGCTGTGGCTGCGACTGATGGTCAGAGGATACATTTTTCTTTCCTATTGACTTTGGGGAACGAGATCTCCTTAAACTATTGCTACTACTTCTCCTCCTGTAAGAAAAGATGTGATTGAAACTATGCAATGACTAAGTGGAGATCAGACATACACGACACAAACCTATTTCTCAATGGGCTCCTTGACCTAGATGAACTTCTTTGTCTCCTTGAAAATATAAAAATAGTTAATAAAAAGGGCCACTGACCAGATAAACTTCAAAATAGAAATATAAATATGCAGAAAAATACCGAGAACTACGTGATCTATTCCTTGATCTAGATCTTCTAGAGTGGTGCCGGCTATCCTGAGACGATCTTGAAGAAGACCTCTTTCTTGACCTGGAGTGGAGTCTCGAGTTAGATCTAGAACGAGATCTAGAACGAGATCTTGAACGAGAACGAGAAGATGATCTAGAAGAACTAGAACTAGACCCTCTCCTTCGTCTATCACTTGATTTAATTCTTGACAAAGATCTAGATCGAGAACGAGAGTGGGACCTAGATCGAGATTTTGATCTGCAAGTAATTAAAAAGGTGAAAATGAAAAGAACATACATAAAAACATAGAAATGAATTCACTATTTGACAATTTCTAACCTTCTTTTGAACCTTCTGATTGCAGAACGGTCAGATGAGGAGGAATGTGATCGTTTGGTAGCTCTCTTGGCAGGTTCCTTGAGTGTTGGCTTGGAACTAGAAATGATGGAAAAATCAGAACAGTTCTTATGGCATACCTATAAATGTTACACGAAACTAAAAGAAATCGATGTATCATGTTATATTTACATAAGCTTGTCTGTGGGAAGTCCTGTAGCAGCTCCATCTTCCTCTCCACCAAAGCAAGTGATATACTGTATCTCACCAGCATTCACAGGAGAGGTTGACCGTGATCTACTTTGAGATTTAGACTTAGATCTTGAATTTGGAGACATGCGATACGGGTCATAGGTGGGACTTGATCTGGTGGCATAGCTGAACATAACAGATTAGGAGGAATTTAGATCTTGATTTAATTTTAAAAGCAATCAATTGTTTTATTTGGATTCAAAAATTTTTAAAGTAACAATACCTTGGAGGACTAATTTTTCGACCAACCAGCTTTTTTTCGCGAAATGCTCTTCTTTCTCTACGAGATTTACGGCCCTGAAGTCAGAAATTGATTAAATTGAAGCATTCAGACTAAGGAGCTACATTAAGACACCTAATTTGGCCAGAGTTTCAAATAAAGATACTGCAGATATATCCTTATAAAAGTACACTTACGGCAAACATTGCTTTTTCCTCCTCCTGTTCTCTTGCAAGTTTTAATGCTTCTTGCTCTTCAAAATCGTCTGTGAGAAAACTGAAGAAGTCGTTGCCACTCATTCCATAACTAAGACCACAATGATTCATTTCGTGAGCTTGTTTTGTGTCAATTTTACTAACATCCAGGCACATATCTGGTTGACAAACAAATGATAAGATGTCATAAACGTCAGATAAATCCATCACACCCACACCAAAAGACAAATATAGTTGAGCACCATAACATACCAAAGTCAACATCACTATCCTCGTCTTCATCCTCAGCATTTTCATCAATTTTTGGATCATCTTTATCCAATTTCTTTGCCAGAGGGGGTGGAATAGTGGCTGAAGGTAAAGGAATGGGGCCCAAACCTGATCCAACTCCCAAACCTGGACTGTCATCTTCATAAACATATCCAATGGCAGCCCCTGGCACTTTCTTCCCTTTCTTGTCAGGATTGGGAGGAGGTTCTTTGGACTGCTGACCACCAACAGGTCCAAACTGTTCTTCTAGGTAAAGCTGTCGCAAAAACTTTTCCTCTGGTACTGCAACACAAATTTTATATTATTGTCAAAGATGATTTGATGACTAGTTTAGTTAAATTTGAGAAACTTTACTACCTCCTAAAAATTCATTTTGAACTAAGATGCGGTAGCGCTCATAATTCGACTGACGTTCTTCGATATTAGGAGAGTCCTCTTCATCATCCTGAGGTTGTGGAATAAAGTCAAGATGGGCTCTCACGTCAAAACGATCAATGAGCGTATCAACCTGCCCCTGCCACGGCATCCTGATAGACAAAAATTAGTATGAGAGTAGAAGAAAATTTTCAAAAGATCACGAAAAAGTACGTGAAATAGAAGTTGTGCATACATGTTTGCTGGGCTGTCACCAGCAGCAGCTACAGCTGGATCTAGATGAATTTTACAAGGCCTGCCATGAATTTGCAGGAATTGAGTTGGATCCGCTTTCTAAAACAGAAGGAGAAAATGCTATAAATGTCTGTTGATTACTCTATGTTAGTTTTTCAATATGTATGCAAATGTTCACTCACAATTTTTTCATAATAGTCTCTCCTTCTTTCTGCCCTTCTATGGTAATCTACTATCATGCCACGTATCTTCTTTTCTTGTTTACGAGCCTCATGCCACATCATCTTGGATCTTTTTACTGAAAATGAAATGTAAATCATTAATACAATGTGGCAAATGAGCATTCTGTCAAAAGATGAACTATCTTTAAGTACTTTTAGTACTATACAAAAATATAAGAAGTGAGAACAAAATATGCTAACAAACTGGGCAAACTGCCTATCAAAATCAAAACGGTTAAAAGAAAAAAAGCAGTTTTCTAGTGTCATAGGACATCTACCATCAGATCAGAGGATTAACCTCAATCTTTGAATTTCAATCGCAGTGCTCTTTCTAGGATAGAGGAAGCATTCTTAGCCAATGATAAAATATTAAGATATTGGAAAACACTGGGCTGTATAAATAAGCACTAAAAAAATTATTCACGAAATTTTCAAAGTGTTTTTAGATTATCAGCTGGTAACTCCGCGTTCCGCAAATAGGATATAGGACTATGAGCAATAGTGAAGGCAAGGAGGGTGCTAGAATGGAACCACAAATAACGGAAACTAGGTGTTGCAATAAACATCATGCGTACCTATAAAATAGCTTTCATAAAAATAGAAAAATATGCTAATATAGCTATAACAAAAATGGTACAGCCGCCCGCAGTGCGGTTTAAACCGCGTTTGTTACAAGGGCGAAATCGAACCCTCTTGGTGACGTCAGTCGTCAGTCAGAAAGCTGTCTGCTGCCCCCCCCCCCCTCTTTTTTTTCCTACAACAAACAATGGCGCTGTCCACAGAACGTGTAGCTTCAGTATTATGGAAACAAATGCACGGTTTAATATGCGTTTACAAACCACCCGACATCACTTTAGGACGTCTCGTGCAAAATTTAAGGCTTATTATTCCCGCAGGTAGGGTTGTCTCCATCGGCACTGTCTTCGATGGAAGTGCCTCCTTACCTAACTATAACTAACCCTATCTGATTTGATGTATGTTTAGAGTTTAAGTATTTTCTCTTTCAGGACTGAACAAAATGATTGTTCGACAACCCAGAAAAGTCATTCGATACGATGCAACTGTGGGAATGCCAGTGGAAACCATAGAAACTGATTACTCTGATCATCCCCTAGTCATTGGGCCGCGCTATGAACCATCAGAGATCCGGTATTTCTGTGCCAGTGCTCTCACATTGCATGGTGGTGGCGTTTGTAGTGAGTATATTTTAACTTTTTATTGTACAGATTATGTGATTTGAAAAGAAACTATAAAAACATGTACTATTTTGCAGTGGTGGGTCTAAACGGCGGAAGACATCTGGCTAAAGATTTAGAGAGTTCTAAACCAGTAAGAGTTTACAGATTAGTTGGACAGCTTGGTCTAGCAACTGACAATTTGCACAAGTCAGGTAAAGTAGTTGAGAGGACAACATTTCATAAAGTGCATCGGTCAATCATTGATAGTGTGGTGGCCGCAATGCAGTCGTCACACCAACGCCACATGTATCAGTAAGTGAAATCTGTGCTTTTCTCTAGAGCAATCTAATTTTTCATAGTTAATAATAATGTTCATGTATCCTGCATCTCAAAAGCAACTCAGGAGTAAATATACAAAGCCAAACTGCCTATGATCTTGCAGTTAAAGGTCTTCTGCGTCCTGCAGATGACAGTTTCCCCATAATCTACAACATTAAATGTGTTGATTTCACCCGGCCTTTCTTCACAATTGGTATGAAAAATGTGTTCTCAATTATAGTTTTTATGTGGTATGGTAAATTGTATGCTTTTCCCTTTCTTCTTGCAGAAGTTGCTTGCATTAATGAGAGAGAAGATCAACTCATGGGCCTCATCCATACAATTGGTTTAAAAGTGAAGAGTGCAGCAAGGTGCAATAGCATTAAATGCATTAGATATGGACCATTCACTTTGGAGCATGCACTTCTCCAACACCAATGGAAAGTTGACAAGATAGCATCAAATATTCAAATGTGTAATGCTATCAATGAAGAAGATATTAAGTCTGGCAGAAGAGAAAATATTGATCTAGTCCCTATGGAAATGAATAGGGAAGAAAAGTGGGAAAATGAAGACAGAGAAGACTGGAATCAGCCACTTTCTAGTGCAGTAAGAGGACCAGCAAATCAAAGGGAACGACGTAGGCTAAACCATTTGGAATCTAGGAACCAAATTAATGGCCAGTTGCACTCAGGAAATGAAGAGTGATCTTGCCTTATCTGACTGTTTGAAAAACTGTGATAAGTAGCCACATACATAAAATAATAAATCAGATTAAGACCTAATCATTGTTGTTTTTATTAATACCGGAGACTTTCAAGTTAAGATGCCAAATAAAATCCAAGACAAGTGACATTGTGGGTGAGATGCTTCATTACACCTCTTAAATGAAGCAGTTGACTAAATGGGTTTACTTTGTGGCAGGCTTAGCCTTGGGCTTCATGGTAAAGTAAATAAGTGCTAAGCCCATGGCAGCTAAGGTAATCTTGGCAGCCTGAAACAGAACATAATGTTGAGTAGGAGTTCAAGTATGATATAAACTGATCATTTTAAAATGCTAACTTACTCCCGCTCGGCCTGCTTCTGTGGTGGAGTTGTAGTACTTCCAAATACCCTTAATGTTAGCTGCTTCTGGGGGGTCTGGGCCAGCCATTTCCTGAAATAAATTAAGAGAAACATTTAAAAACCACCAATTGCAACAAGGGAATCGTTTGAATGTATCTTGTTTTACAATCAGCTGCCTGCAAACTATTAACGGTGCAACTCATTGAATCAACACGGGCATACTCAAAACATAAAGCGCCAATAAATTTGAAATGCATTCACAGAATTTTTTTTTTGCCAGAGGCCACAAAGAATAACCCGTTCATCTACATGCATGAGATAACCTCCAACTTCAGTTGAATGTAAGACTACAGGAAGGCGGCGCTAGCAAGTGTCCTAATATGCATTGAAATTATCACCATTACGTATAGATTGAAAAAAAAGATCAACGTACAATGGTGAAAGAAATTAATGACCAAATTGATTTGGAAAAATGACCTCTGTCTGCTAGAGCAGCAATTGATGTCAAGAAACAGCGCAATCCAGATGCCCCGGCAGGTACGGTAAACGACTCAAAACAATGTCAAAAATAAGTTGAATATCTGCTGACTAAAACTTACGATTAGAAATGTGAGAGGACAAAACTAAGAGGAAATGTGGAGACGAGACCACACGATCAATGACCACTGGCAGGGTCGTGAAGGTGGACTGGAAACATCTGACAACCGGTGTTAGCAAGCCGCCAACGGCTCACATGAAAATCACCAGATAAGTTTTAACAAAAAAGTAATAGGCAATTACAACGAAAAGTTAAATTTAATAATTTATTAAAAATAAAGGTGTTGCAATCAACGCCAGGCTTAAACCTTTAATAATAGCGCTCTGAAATGGTGACGCCCACGGTAACGTAAATGGTGGAAATGGGGCAAGGGGGAGAACTGTTGAAATCCTTTGAGCGCGTGAGCCCGTCTTTAGCCGAAAGTGAAATGAGCATTCCCTAATTTTGTTACGTCGTGCCATTCTGTCCGCCGTTAGTGATTTCTCTTTTCCGAGAAAAAGCCTGCTCAAGCAGCATCATGGATACAGTAATAGGGTTTCAAACGCAGCTTGCGCACACCGGGGGGGGGGGGGG